ACCCCCCGATATTCGGTATTTTGATGATTTTAGCGACATTATTTACCGGAATCGTTTCAAATTTGGTATTTGAAGTTCTTAAGGGATACTACAGCGTAAGACAGAAAATTATCTGTGCAGGTCCACGTCTTCGTGTAGCCCCCATATAACGGTACCCCCCGATATTCGGTATTTCCATGATTTTAGCGACATTATTTAGCGGAATTGTTCCAAATTTGGTATTTGAAGTTCGTAATAGATACTGCAGCATAAAGCAGAAAATGGGCCATGTAGGTCCACCTCTTCATATAGCCCCCATATACCGTACCCCCCGATATTCGGCATTTTGATGATTTTAGGGACACTATTTACCTGGATTGTTTCATGTGAAGTTCGCAATGAATACTTCAGCCCATTCCAGAAAATTGTCTGTGCAGGTCCACGTCTTCGTATAGCCCCCATATAACGGTACCCCCTATATTCGTTATTTTGATGATTTTGATGATTTTCAAGATTCGCATTTAAATATTGTAATAACTTATGACAAAAGTTGCCTATGCAGGTCCACGTCGTCGTATAGGCATTCGGTATTTTTAAGATTTTAACAGAATTTTTAACGGATTTTATTTTTTTTTGGAAAATGTCAAATTTGTACCAACTGGTAGAGGGTATTAAAAGTTCGGCCCGGCCAAACTTACAACTTTTTTACTTGTTTTTAAATGTTATTGAATGAAAGCAAAAATTTCGGAAATAGCATCAAATTTTAGAATAAGTTTTTAAGTCACCCTGGCCGGCGCTTGAGTTCTGGTGGCCAACTGAAGGTGCACATTTCTAGCTGACCTCTTTGGCAGGTAAACACGATCATTTTGTTTGTTCTTTTACAAACTGCTGGACAATGAATGTTTTCTCATCGAAGAATACCAAAATCGGCCAACTCTTTGGCTCTTTCGAGTGATTTTCTTTCTGCCGCGGTGTAAGTTCTTGCACTTTTTGGAATTTCGATGGCATGTTGCAATATTTCATTCGGCAAATATTGAAAAATGAGCTCGGGGTAACATTTTTCAATATTTGCCGAATGGAATATTGCGATATGTTCAGCTCACGAAACATTTTTCGGTCACTGCGACGCGTGTTTCGACCAAGTCGCTTCTTTACTTTTCGAACCATTTCTGCTGATGTTTCTGTTTTCTTCCGTTCACTTCCTTGAGGTCGGGCTACGCAACCAGAATCACGGTAACTAGCGATGGTACATGACACAAAAGATTTATTCACATTTAAATGCTGGAGTGCTCTAACGATAGTCACTTGTGGTTTTCCAGCCAAATATAAAGAAATCACACTATCACTCTTGAATACCATCACGAATAACTTTTTTTTTTTGGAAATTCTCACCAAAATGCTTTTGTTTGCTTGTAAATAATATAATGAGCTGTCACTGGAATAATTTTAACAGCTGTTGGACGAGTGGCTTAGAAATGACTGCAGTTTGAAGTTGGTTGCAGTTTTTCATCTCACCCTGTATATATTACATATTAGAGTTCAATCAAATACTGAATATGACAGATCATTATCGATTAAGACATCATATGTTTATTGTACCTTACACCACGTACTGTTAAGGGTGTTATGTTTTTGTGCATTTTTTTGTTCCATGAAGGAGGAAGCCAGGTAGACCCTAAGTTACTTTTGAGAATCTTCATAAAATTACATTGTGTCGATTTATGCATGTCAGTCCGTCTGTGCATGCGATCTGCATTTATCATTCGATTGAGATGATATTTTCAAAACAATGTTTGTTTAGCCCAAGGAGGAACCATATTGAAATTGGTGAGAATCGGTTCAAATTTAGATATAGCTTCCACATATATCTCTAAATGAACTGAATTTTGGTAATTTATCTCAGAAACAAGTATATGAACCGATTTTCATCAAATTTCAAATACTTGTATGTGGTGAAAGGTATAATTAAACATATTATGTCTTTATCGAAAATGATGTGTCGTATTCAGTATTTTATTGAACTCCAATATATAGCTATAGCTACCATATATATGTTTTATCCGATTTAAGGTTTTAAGTCCCTCACATGCGTAATATGCACTCCACAAGAATGATGTTTGATACCAGATAACTTATGGAGCTCAAAAATACTTCTGTCAAATTTTATCGAGATCGGATAAGATTTGGATACAGCTCCCATATATATCTTAATCCGATATCAGGCTTGTTGTGCACCAATAGCTAGTATCAGCCCAAATGACCTAATTTTTGTCTATTCCGACTAAATTTATCCTAGAAACAAGTACTTCAAATTTGGTGAAAGTCGATTCAGATATAGCCCCCATTTATATGTTTCATCCGATTTGGGGTTTTAAGTCCTCACATAAGTAGTATGCGCTCCTCAAGGATGATATTTGGTACGAAATAACTCATGGAGCTCAAAAATACCTCTGTCAAATTTTATCGAGATCGTTTTAGATTTTTTTATAGTTTCGATATACATCTTCATCCGATTTTACGGTTATTGTTCACCATATATGTAAGATCAGCCCAAATTAAATAGATTTTTTCATATTCAACAGAATTTTAACATTTGGTGAAACACGGTCCGGTATATCTATTGCTCCAATAAATATTTCTTAGTATAATTCTTATCAAGTCATACTGGTGACGGGAGCTCTACTAAACATGCACACAAAGACCTAAAATGGTAAAGACTAGACAAAATGCATTTTGAGCAAATGGTTTGTTTCTTTGTTTCTTGAATACATAGAGTGACAGATCATGGCAGAGACAGGTTAATATAAAAACCACAATAAGAGAAACGAATAACAAATAAACAAGTAAAAAAAAAACATTAAGTTCGGCCGGGCCAAACTTTTAATACCCTCCACCTTAGGGTAAAAGAAACACTAGAAGAAATGTGGCAAAAACCATTAAAATGCCGAATATCGGGAAGTACCGTTGTATGGGGGCTACACCAAAACGTGGACCTATAATTACAATGTTTCGCCACACGAACTAGGACCCATTATGACCCACAAATACCAATTTTTAGACAAATCAGTGAAAAAATGTGGCAAAAACCATCAAAATACCGAATATCGGGAGGTACCGTTATATGGGGGCTATACCAAATCATGGACCCATACATGCAATGTTTCGCCACCGGAGCTGGAAACCATTATGACCCACAAATACCAATTTTTAGACAAATCCGTGAATAAATGTGGCAAAAAAAAAAAAACTAAAATACCGAATATAGGGAGGTACCTTTATATGGGGGCTATACCACTATACATGCAATGTTTTGCCACACGCTCAGGGACCCATTATGACCCACAAATACCAATTTTTAGACAAATCAGTGAAAAAATGTGGTATAAATCATCAAAATACCGAATATTCGGAGGTACCGTTATATGGGGAATATACCAGAACGTGGACCGATATATCTCATTTTCAATACCAACCATCCTAGACACAATGCAAATAGCTCTGCTAAATTTTGGCGCTCTACGTCAGATAATGTGGGCTGTATCGTGATTTCAACAGACAGACAGACAGACGGACAGACAGACAGACGGACATCGTTAAATCGACTTAGAATTTTATGCTGATTATGAATATATATACTTTATGGGGTCTAAGACTAATATTTAAGGATGTTACAAACGGAATGACAAAGTTAATATACCCTCCTTTCCAAGGTGGAGGGTATAAAAATTGAAAAATCCAAAATTTTGGTTTCAAAATTTTATTCCATAGACCTTTCCAAAAATGTGTATTTGCCTTAGCGGTTTAAATCAGTTAACATTGGTAACTATGTTGTTAGGATATTGTAACAACAGAGGTATTATCACAGGGTTGCCATATTTTAACTTTGACTTGTCCTATCTTTACACTTCTATGTCTTTGATGCACAGTGGTCGTATAGTCATTTCGCCCGACTTTTGACATATTTTTACATTTCCGCTAAACATAAAATAATGACATTTAAACATTTTTTAGAAATGGAAACTTTATTTAATAAATTATTAAGTTACAGAAATGGAAATAAATAGAAAAAAATTAATATGTAGAGAATAAATTATTTTAAATAAATAAATAAATCGTTTTATTGTTTTTAATAAATAACTTAAGCTAGAAATAAATAAGCACTCTTCGCACATCCAGGTGATGTTGGCAAACGATTGTTGAGTATAAAAGTTTATCAATTATCCCAAAATATTTTAGAATAGAAATATTAGATGCACATGATTTTCAAAATCGGAGAAATATATTTCTATTATAAAATAGGGATAATTTTATATTTTTTTGTTTGTGTAGCAAATAAATAATTAACAAATAAATAAAATTATTTAATAAATTAAATAAATATTGGCGAAATAAATAAATAAATATTAAAAAAAAAATATTATACAAATATTTAGGCACACAACAATGGTTTCATATTGCAAAATGAATCAAATAAATAAATAAATTGTTATCTTTGACTTGTGTTACACAAATTATGTGATACACAAAAATTATTACTTAACCTGGAATAAATAAATAAATAATTTAATTGGCAATTTGTTGATTTTCTTAAATGCAAAAATTGAAAATGTATGGTATGTATTGCACGAGGAAAAAAGGAATTCCCTTAAAATAAGTAAATAAGTTATTAAATTAAATTATTTAATAAATTAATTTTGTATTCCTTAAGAGCACTTCTTGGAAACAAATAAATAAACCCATTTTTGTTTTTAAATAAAAATAGTTTTTTACACAAATAAATAACCGACACCTTATGCTTGTAATAAATAAATGAATAAATAATTGTTATGTTGTTTTATATGTCCTACACATGGGATGACAATTAATGATCCCAATATAATTAGTGACTTGATAATTGAGGAGATGTCTATAATTAATTTTAATTATATTGCTCCACAAAGATTCTGTATTACCCAGCCCATGTGTTGCTCTCATATAAAGTTAGACTTACAGAATGTTTGAGTATGGCAGATTTGTGTTCAATTCTTATTTTTATAACACTGGGTTTTTGTTTGTCAACTATTTACATAAAAAAACGCTAGCAAGTGTTTGCACAATTGCAGCATTTTAGAAAATGTCACTTTCAACGTATTTGTGTTCGGCAAATATTTGTTGGTTCATAGAACTTATTTATGTATGCGTATTTTATTTCACGTTTTTTTGTTGTCGTTTTTGTTTACAAATCATATATCATGGATATATTTATTCATTTAAAACAAATTAGTTTAACATTTGGTTAATAAAGTTTAACGTTTTTCTCTTCTGCTCTCTTTCGTTGATGTTGTTGTTGTTGTCATCGTGTATTTGTGTGTTTGTTTGGTTATTTACACATTTTATTTGATTCTATTACGTTTTGGCTTAAACACGAATCAAAAAACGGCGAAACATGCTACTGAGACTGTTATTGAATAATCATATTTATGACCAGGAATGACATATCTTTATGGTAAACATTTATATCAATTTAATGCTATTTGTTTCAAATGAATATATTTTTTTTTAATCTCTGTTTGGCAAATTAACATTTACAAAAATTTAAATAAAAACAAAAAATTGGAATTAAGCAAATTACAGATAAGGGAGGCGTATATTTTTAATGTCTGAATTTGGTCAAGGCAAAATCATATAAATTATTACTTTTTAATAAATAGAAAAATAATAATTTCTAAAATTTTCTGTAGGATATATGCATTACAAATCGTTGGTAAATTGTATATGAAAACTACTAACACAACTTTATTCAAAAATTTAATTGAAGTCCTACATTTAGCCCCAAACAACGATTTTGGGTGCTGTACTAAAATTTTCAAGTGATTAATTTAATTTGGTTTTTTTTTTGGTTTCTGTGATTTAAATACTCTATGCAGAATATGCTCAATTTAGGTCCACGATTTTGTACAGCATATTTTATGAAAGATTTTTCGGGTTTTTTTGGGTTTGATACCTTCCACCATAGTATGGAGGGTACATTAAGTTTGTCACACCTCGAAATATACGTTTCAGACCCCACAAAGTATATATATTCTTGATCAGCATAAAATTCTATGTCGATTTAGCGATGTTCGTCTGTCTGTGGAAATCAGTCTAGTTTTCCAACGAAATGAAGTAGGTTGATAAAATTTTATTCAAATGTGTATTATGTCTGCAGAACTTTTGGTATTAAAAATGTGTGATGTAGGTGCACGTTTTGGTATAGCCCCCATATAATGGTACCTCCCTTTTTTCGGTATTTTGGTGATTTAAGCGACATTATTCACGGGAAATGTTTTAAAATTTGGTATTTGAAGTTCGAAGTGGATACTACAGCCTATGACAGAAAATTGTGTGTACAGGTCCACGTCTTCGTATAGCCCCCATAAAACGCTACCTCCCGTCACTCAGATGTGTGTTAGTCCTGCTGGAAATTTGGTATTTAAAATCCCCATATAACTGTACCGACAGATTTAAGTTTTTTTGGTAGACAATTTTAACATGAATTTACTGTAAATTGGCAGCAGGTGTACCTATAATGTAAGAAATATCCTTGCAAAAAACTGTCAATATAGGTCTAGATTCTGGTATGGTCCCCAAATGACTGTACCTCCAGATATTCCTTATTTTTATGATTTGTGTCACACTTTTTCCCAGAAATGTGTCAAATTTGGAAAATAAATAGGTAAACGTTTTTGTATAGCCCCCATATACCGGTATCTCCCTATATTCGGTATTTTGATCAGTTTAGCGCCAATATTCACCGGAATTGTATCAAATTTGGTATATGAACATCGTAATTGTCTATGTCTTCGTATAGGCCCAATAATGTAAGAAATATCCTTGCAAAAAAACTGTCAATATAAGCCTAGATCCTGGTATAGTATCTATATGACTGTACCTCCAGATATTCCTTATTTTTATGATTTGTGTCACACTTTTTCCCAGAAATGTGTCAAATTTGGAAAATAAATAGGTAAACGTTTTTGTATAGCCCCCATATACCGGTATCTCCCTATATTCGGTATTTTGATCATTTTAGCGCCAATATTCACCGGAATTGTATCAAATTTGGTATATGAACATCGTAATTGTCTATGTCTTCGTATAGGCCCAATATGAAGGTAACTCGTTATATTACGTAGTTATAGCATTTTAGTTGTATTTTTCAACAGATTTTTTTTTTTTGAAAATTTACAAATTCCTTCCAAATGGTGGTATACAAAGTCGCCGAAAAGACTAACTCAAAGACCGAACTTAATGCGTTTTCCTTTATTTTTTGAAAACTTGCCCTCTGGTGTGGGATGTAACAAAAAGCGTGAAGCACTTTTCCCAATAAGTTTGAAGCCAACAAAGGTGGGTAATATTGGCCAATTTCTTTTAATCAACTCTCATGGGCCACTGATTATTTTTCTCACGAGAGGAGTTTTTGTGCCAAATAAATGGAAAATAAAACATCAGTAACATTAAATGGGGTAAAAATGTACAAACCGAGATAAATAAATTATAAAAGCGATTGTATTCCAGTTAGATGTATCTTATAAAAAATAAATCAAATCCGCAAATTGAAATGGAATTTTAAGATACACTAATCGATTTCTTGTTAGATATTTTAGAAAAAATGGGATTGCGAAATAAAAAGAATATATAAAATAATTGAAAAATGTGACAATAATAATCTAAAATAGGGGGGTACCGTTATACAAGGGCTGTCAAAAACTTGGGGCCATATAAATAATCGTCTAAAGTGGATGATACCTACTACCAACTTGAAAACCAAAGCTTAAACAATTCTATTAAAAAATATAGATATGATTCGGGAGGTTCCATTTTTTGGGGCTATACGGAAGCGTGGCCTATATGCAGAAGGTGAGAATTATTGTTAACTCCAAATACCAACTTTTAGAAAATTCCGAAAATCATCGAAAGGTATTGTTATATGGGATCTATAACCCAATTTGGATCTATGTGGTCAGTTCTTTTGAAGAATGATTTTTGTCGTTTGGGAGTGTAAACTGCCAATTTACAGCAAATGCCAAAAACATCTTAAATCGGATAGTATTGCTATTTGGTGGCTATATGTCCCACCGGGCCTATATGTCCGATTTTTAATTCCAAGAGTCTTGAGGACCTAAAATATTTCAGCTTAATGTTTCCACTTACTTCATTCCGTACGGAAGCTAGTGTACAAACATGTCATAATAGGCAGTGAAGCTTGTATTGATCAAGAATATATATATACACTGTTGAGTCTTAAATGCTCATTTCCACATTCCACTTTTTACAAGACTTGAATACTTTTTTGAGTTTATGTTAGCTTCAGCTCATTGAAATTTCTAAAGATTTTAGGCTGACTTTGCCATTCGATTGCCATCCCCTCATATCAATTTTCATTGCCTTAAAGCAAAGCTTTTCCTGCTTTGAAAATAAATTCACTATAATGAACTCTATCCTTTGGATATAAAAATGAACTATCTCATTCCTGGTCTCTAGATCTACGTCCCTTAATTATTACTGTATTTCATATTTAAAGTTAACAAAAATAAATAAGTTTTTCAATAAATAAATAAACTTAAAGCTAATATTCGCACATTCATCACTTAAATTACGGTAATAAATAAATAAATATTGTGATGTTTTTATAAATAATATTTTGTGTGGAAAATAAATAAATAAATAATGGAATAAATAAATAAATATTTCAATAAATATGCAATAAATAAAGTTTTTCAATAAATTATCTTAAACTAGAATAAATAAATAAATATATTTCCTTTTTTTTCTTGTTCAATAAATGTTCAAACATCCAATATGAGAATCGGCAGATGCTCCTTCGCATTCACATATGATAGGGTTGACAGAACTGATATACCAGTCTCTGGGATCTTTCGGTCTTCTTCATAATGCCCTTCTTGTAGTACTGACGTATCGAACGTGACAATTTGTCATAGTTCATAGCTGGACGATTTTTACGTTTTCCCCATAGTTTAGCTACTCTAACAGAATCTTCGATTTTGAAAATACCCTTACTGCGATCAATCCAACGGATGGCAGTACCGTTGATATGCGGTGCAGATAAGAGCTCTTTTAGAAATTGCCATAAATGTATGTGAGATCCTCCGTTCCGTGCTCCAGCACGTTTTATGGTTGGTACCATTTGATTGGTACCAGCACCACCACCACCATTTGTTGTAGCACCTTCATTGTTCATATACTGGCCGTTGAGGTTATTTCCCGTACTCGGTGTGTGATTGTCGTTTGGAAGAAAATCATCTTCGTCTAGTTTGAAAAGATGTATAAAAAAAATTAAATAAATTTATATAAAATAATAAAGAATTGATTTTAGGCAATATAAAGAAATAAATGAGAATAAGCCAATAAATTTAGTTGACCATGTTAAGCGATTCTCCGTATTTTTAGAGGCAACAATTGTTTGCCTTCTAAATAAATCGTCCATGTAGACTTATGAGCGATTTAATAAAATAAACATTTTTAATTTACAAAATTTTTCGATTATTATTTTGCAGAATTCGAACTTTTAACCACAGAAGCCCACCGAAAGAAGCCATGCATTTCACAAAAAATGAAATTATTTAAGAAAAACATTTACATTGACCAGAAAAATACTTTTGCAAAATTATTTTTTTTTCTACTCTATTGAAGTGGCAAAATAAAATTAAATCCACAATTAAAATTACCTTCGGTATCTTCTTCCATGTCTTGACTGTATAGTGCAGGCATAGAATTTTGAGTCCACATTTGTTGGTGTGCGCAGCTGTTGATTGAATTTAGATGGTAATTATCGGAGTGCGTCAATTTCCATATTTCCAATTGAGCATGTAATTTTTCACCACCCTAAAATGAAAGAATAAAATAACATTAACCGGTGTAAGCAAGTATAGTATTAAGCAATAAAAGTATTTAATAAAAAACAAAAAAAAAAAAAAAAAAAAATACCATCTGAGTTTACGCTAGTTTTAATTTTGCTCACAAAGGAATTTCATCACCTAATCAAGAGATAAACTGCTCAATTGCAAAGACTTATATGTAAAATGTATGTAGTGGAAGTATTATAGTTAGGAATTTTGTGCAGAGAGGCTCTTTGCTCTACAGTCCCTCTAATGTTCGTACCGCCAACAGAATAGGTCAATATTTTAAATAACAATGGTTCGAAGTTTGTTTCAAAGTTTGTATATCCCAAAATTTTTGTCAAATTTAGATCAAAAATTTAAAATGGATTATATCGCTCCACACTTTCCAGTACCTCCCCATGAAAGTTCAAAAAATATATAAATATAAATTATATAAATTCAAGCGAACATTTTGGTGCGAATTTTCCAGAAAAAAGTTATTTGTGATGGAATTCAAGCGTGATGGTGTGATTTCTTTATATTTTGATGGAAAACTACAAGTAAAGCACTCCAGCATTTAAAAGTGAATAAATCTTTTGTGTCTCGTACCATCGCTCGTTACCGTGATACTGGCGGCGTAGCCCGACGTCAAGGAAGTGGACGGAAGAAAACAGCAACATCAGCAAAAATGGTTCGAAAAGTAAAGAAGCGACTTGATCGAAAACCTCTCGCAGTGGCCCAAAAATGGCTGGTGAGCTGAACATATCGCAATATTCCATTCGGCAAATATTGAAAAATAAGCTTGGGGTAAAGACATTGAAATTCCAAAAAGGGGAAGAACTTACACCGCAACAGAAAGAAAATAGACTCTAAAGAGCTAAAGAGTTGCTCCGCTTGGCCGAAAGTCGTGAACTGCCGAATTTGGTTGTCCAGCAGTTTGTAAACAAACAAAATGATCGCGTTTACTTGCCAAAGAGGTCTGCTAAAAATGTGCACCTTCGGTTGGCCACCAGAATTCAAGCGTCGGCCATAGTGGGTTGGGACTGAAAAATACCAAGACGTCGATCACCTCAAACAAGTGCTTCGCAGGGAATGGACCAAAATACCGTAGAGCAACATTCGGGCAACGTGTGACGGATTCATTGGCCATTTGAAGGCCATAATTCGTGCCAAAAGTGACCAATTCGAACAAATCTAAACTTATTCTAAAATTTGATTTTATTTCCGACATTTTTTGTTTTCATTCAATAAAATTCAAAAGCTTACGATCTCGTCACTAAAAAAGTTTTTTGTCGTAGGTTTTTTTTAATAACTTCTGGAGAGAATTTCCCACACAAAAAACTAGGGAACTGATGAGGATTGATGGCTCTTTCCGAAACTTAGGTATTCCCTGCCTTACCCCCTGTTAAACATTACCATCGTTCTCCACTAATAAACATAAAAAAAAAAAAAGAACAATAATAAAGGGATTAAGCCTGACCATTTTGCAAAAAAAACTAATAAATAAATAAATAAAATAAAAATGTAAAAATGGCGTTTGACTTTGTTGCAGTTTTTTCTTATCTCACCCTTTCCTTACTGGTTTGATATCGCAAATTTTTCAAAAAGCAAAACATTTCTTCGCAAATGCTTCGTATGTACTAAATATATAAATAGTAGTATAATGTTGTAGAATAACTTATTGTACATTTTGTTGTCAAGTTTTGAATTTTTAATTTTAGGACATTCCCTGGAATTATTTTCCTATTTTCAAAAGCACTTTGAGAGTTATTTTCATAGCAATTTTTGCAAAAGTCTGTCAAATATAATATATTGATCTACGGACTTGGCCTAAAAATGATTATAAATAATATACAATACATTTTTTTTGAATCGAAAAAACAACTGCAACTTCCTACATATTGTTTTCTTTTAATGCATTTATAACTCACAAAAAAAAAAAAAAAAAACGAAAAACAATGGCGTTTTTATGCATTAATTGAATTGTATTCACACAAAAAATAATTCCCTGCATTGTGGGCTGATGTATTCACCATGTATGTACGTACACATGTATGCTCAGCAATAACATGCCATATATTGGCGCAGAACTACTACTGAGAGTGTCAAAAAACAAACACAAGATCTAGAATGTGACGCGCATAACATGAACCCTAATTTAAATTTCATTCGAATTTAATCTTCATTTCCACCGCCACAATGCCGGAAAATGTTAAATAAACATTTCGATACACATTCGTATGCAGTCTGTTCAAGCTTTAGGCTGGATGATTCAAAACAAAATGAAGAAGAAGTTATTTTTAACGCTGATCAGTGTGTTGTTTACATTTACAACGTCTTGGCTTGTTGTGCTGATGGTGAAGATGATTATGAGAATGTTGATTTTGATAAGACGATAGTAACAACATCAACAACGCCAGCAATGACTGGCCTTCATCTCTCCCTCCATATTCTGCATTTTTATGTTGTTATTGTTGTTGCTGGCGATGAAGACGGCGGGCGACTCACTTTCACCTTGCAATGTCGTTGCTGGTCGTTGGCTTAGTTTGTGTTTTGATTTTTGTTTCATTCAGAAATCTCAAGTCTAGGTTTGTCCATTTATTATGGCCTGCCCAGAAGCATATTGAGCTTGTGCTTCTGCTGCTGGTTAAATGTACTTTAGGGTTTCATTCAACTGCATATGGCCACAATCTGTGTTCCGATGTGTGTATGTATGTTAGGCGTAAGTTTAAGACAATACAAACACATCTGTTTGGCAGTGATGATGGCATTCTATTGTTGTTGTTAGATAGATGGACTGAACACTCCACGATTGCAAACAAATAAACTTGCCTAACAACCTACATACGTTGGATGTTGTTGCTTCTGGAACGAGGGTTTCTCTGAAAGTCAGATAGGTGTTTTGAACATATCAATTGGATGCAATGTTTTATCCGAGTAAAGGTATCGAAGCAAGGTAACATTTGTAAAACTTTCCAATCCCAATTCTTGGGTAAAAATTTATTTTTTCAAAAACAAATATTTTCAGTTATCCAAAAGACTCGATAAAAAGGTATAGTATGATAATAACTACAATGGATCTCTATCAATTATTATAAAAAAATCGTAAAGAACTCTGAGTTGTAGCGAAGTTCCCACACAAGGGTTCTTAAGAATAAGAGGCATTTTGAAATGGTGTACACACTTGGATCTAAAATGTGTACCATTTATAGAGAAAGGAACATTCTTGAAATTGTATCAATTATGGAGATATTTCAGTGTATTGACAACGTTGTGTCAAGTAATGACTGATTTGGTTAGAAGTTCAACTACTTACTGGGAACCCGAAACATAAATTTGTTGCTAATTTGGTTGAAACCTTTGAAATATCGAAAATTGGGAGGTACCGCTAGATTGGGGCTATACCAAAAAGTGGACCAACATTGACAATTTTGCGAGGAGTTAAATCACTCATTGAGAACCCGATATGTTTACAGCATTCGGTTGGAAAATTGAGACAAAGCCCGAAAAGCAGCAGTTACCGTTATATGGGGCTATACATAAACGTGGACAGATCATTTTCAATACTAGATATCATAGGAGTGTTACAATCATCTATGTCAAATTTAATTTATTTATAGTATAGACGTGTATTTTTAGGAGTTCAAATGTACCAAAAATTTTAAATTTTCCTAATATTGCAGTCGCTCTACAGATCACAATTAAAAGATTCTGCATGAGGTTGGAGTTTAGATAAGAGCAGAAGTCTAGCATTTTGACTGACCATTGGATTAAATTTAGCGGGCAAAAGGGCCCAAAACTTTTGTGTGAAATTATCGTACCGATTGAATGTCACCAGTCAAAAATCAGATGTAACATTTGCGTTATTTTTAAAACGAAACAACATATTAGAGTGTTGTAGGGTATCGCATGCTTCGACCCGCTTTACTATAGCCTTACCATAGCTTATTCCAACTAAGTTTGTCATTCCGTTTTTAACACCTGGAAATATTCTTGATCTGTATAAAATTCTATGTCGATTTACAGATGGATGTCCGTCTGTCTACCCCCCCGTCTATGGAAACCACTCTAGCTTCCGAATAAAAAGTAGTAGTAGTGGAGTTACTCAGATGTGTGTTTAGACCGTAGGACTTTTGGTATTGAAATTGGGCTTTATAACGATAGAACCGGGCTGTACCGATAGATTTAAGGGTTTTTGGGGGTATTTTAGTCATGATTTTAATCCAAATTCATAACTGGTACTAAAGTCTGTGACAGAAAATTCCTTGCGCAGGTCCACGCCTTAGCCTCCATATATCGGTACCTCCCTATATTCAGAAGTTTGATGATTTTAGCGACATTATTCACTATAATTGTTTCAAATTTCGTATTTGAAGATCGTAAAGAGTACTACAGCCTGTGACAGAAATTTGCCTGTGGAAGTCCACGTATATAGCTCCCATATAATGGTACTTCCCAATATTCAGAATTTTGATGTTTTTGAGACATTATTCAATAGTATTGCTTTAAGTTTCGCATTTTAATAGTGTTATGGCCTATGACAAAAAATGCCAATAGAGGTTCATGTTTCCGTATAGGACCCAACATAACGACAACTCCCTATACTCGGTATTTTATGACTTTTCAAGGATTTTTTTTGGAAAGTATGTCTGTCTTAAAATCCACTTTATATATCCACCTTATCAAATATGCTTTATATATCCACCTTTGTAAGCTCTCCGATATCATTCTCAATTTAAATAAAAAAATCCCCCTTGTAAGCTTCCGAAATTATTCTAAAAAAAAAAATATAAAAATCTACATAAACTATTAAATTTCAGAAATGTTAAATTAATTAGAAATTTCTCATAAAGGCTCTTTTAAAAATTGCATCAAAACTCCACTTTTTAGGGGGTCACCTTCATCTAGCTTTCAATTAAAAATCCACACTTCTAGACTCTCCAGAAACATCCAAATGTGATGGCTTTTGAATATTTTTAATTTCACCCTGATCTTGGCATATTAACACACATATATGCTGAAGATTTTAGCTTAATTTATTAAAAGTGGTCGTAGGAAGGAAAAACATTAAAAAGCGTTACCACTGTATTCCGTCATGTTGTATCGTAATTTAAAGTTGTATAATTACTTCTTTCATTTGAGCATACAAGACCTTGAATCGCAGATTTTATCAGACTCCGAATGTTCCTCATGTAAATTACTTAATTTCTTGACTATATCGCTCTAGCCAATATTTCTCAAACTTGCCATACCCCTGTCGTTTAACGAGTGCATCGTTTACCTTGGCGTTTCACTAAACAACCTTCACAACATTCTTTCTTTGGCATTCAACAGCCAGCCATGACCATGGTTACTAACTCCAGGTTTTCGTTTACTTTTTCGACCTTTTCCTTGTGTTTAGTTTGAAGAGTGCACATGGACAGTACCACATTAATGCCACAAATTCAATTTCAATTTCGTGGGGGAAGTGTTGTTGTTTTTGTTTTTAAATTGGTGCATGTGCCTTAAGTCTTTTGTGTTTATCACGTTTGCATCTTAAGTCTTTGCTCTCTTCGCATCTACTATTCATCGTTTTATTTTGAAAGTAATTTCATTGCTTTTGTTTTGGTTTCCAAAAAAAAAAGTTTCCTAACCGTGCTCAATTCTCTCATCTTTCTCTTCTCGTCTCTTTCTCTCTGAACAATAAAGGGAGAGTTGTTGGTTGGCTTTTACAAAAGAAAGCTTTATTTTACTTTCATTTAGTTTGTTTATTACTCCGTATTTTTTAATCATATTCCTTACCCTCTCTTTGAGTTGGTTTCTTTGTTTGTTGATTTTTTTCTTCGTTTTGGCCCAACTCCGTTAATGCGTCCAAATGACGTCAGCTAAAGATTTCATAACTTATGTTTTTTGTTTTTGTTTTGTACAATTCATGAATTTCTTCTGGCTGTTACCGATTGTGGTATCTGTTAATGTTTTTGGGGAGATATAAGGGGAATTTATATTTGTTGTATTTTTTTGTTTCATTCTATACACAAGTGATGGTGGTGTTTTTTTTTGTGGTTTCTTTTGCTTTATGGCCGCGCCATTTCATAGTGATACGACCTTGTCTTTTTATCTTTGTATGTGTGTGTCTGTGTGCGTGAAATGCAAATTTGATACCATCTTTGAAGATAATTTGTATGTTTATGTCTCCATTCGTGGAATTCTATAATATCTTCTATTATACAATCTTAAGTTTTTGAGTTTATGTAATAAATAGTTGATCAATTCATTAATCCAAAGTAGTTCTTACTCACCTCGGGTATTCTACGAACGAATTCTTCTTCGGTTAATTGCAACAGAGCCGCTCCACTCTCATTGAATTTATTTTCCAAATTCTCAATAATTGGCAAATCGAATTGTTGTATGGTGGATCGTAACCATGCATGAACTTGTTGTGGTGTCCAATCAGAGGGATCTAGAAAATAAAATTTCATATTAAGTATCGTTAAAATAAAGCTATGCAGAACTAAAATGTGACCTTCTAGCCTAGCCGTTAGTTTGAGTCATTCAAATAAGACTTATAACAATAAAATATGAAAAACCAGGCCACTAATTGGTATGTTAAGGTCATTGTAGTTCAAACCATATACGTGACTCAAAGTGTGAATTCGTTTGCAGAGCATTTATTAACATTTTCACTATGATTCATTGCTAATCAATCATAAGAAATCTAAAGTAGTTTATTTTTTTATTTTAATTTGAAAAGATAAAAAATACGAACAAACTCTTATTGTGATAGAAGGCAATACAATTACATTAAATTTGACCACACTCATTACGCTACATGTTTTAGCACATCTATCGCCATTAATCGCTCTGGGTATATTGATATTACTCTGGTCTCGGAAAAATAATTCTTAAGACAGTAAAGAAAGGCCAAAAGTCGGGCAGGACCGACTTATGATACCGTACACCACTTTTCATATTTAGTAGAGATTCTCGTAACAAATATAGGTTGATATTGGGAATTTGTGTGAAGTAGATCATACGAACAATGATCGTTTTTGAATGTTTAGTATGGCTTTAGATCAATTATAATTGGAGAACAAAAGTAACTAATATATGGGATTATGCTTTATCACTTTTTTTGCACAATGAACGTGAAATCGGATAAAAAAATATATGGGTGCAACATCCAAATCTGAGCCAATCTCTAAAAAAATTAGCACATATATTTCCATACTGTATCTAATTGCTTGCAACAAATATCGTTGTTTTAGAGAGTATATTACGGCTGTGGGGAACAAAAATGGTAGCAACAACATAAATAGGAGCTATAGCTATATGAGAACCGAATTTGACACACTTGCTTCCAGGTTAAATTCGGTCATATGTGCCAAAATCTACTGCACTTATATTAACCATTTAGTGCACAAAAAAAAAACGGATAGAGATAAATATGTGACCTATACACAAATCTGAACCGATCTCAAATCTCAGGGTGAGATGAAAAAACTGCAACCAAATTCAGACTGCTGTCATTTCTAAGCCGACAGCTGTTAAAATTATTCCAGTGACAGCTCATTATATTGTTTATAAGCGTACAAAAGCATTTTGGTGAGAATTTTCCAGAAAAAAAGTTATTCGTGATGGAATTCAAGCGAGATGGTGTGATTTCTTTATATTTGGCTGGAAAACCACAAGTGGGTATCGTTAGAGCACTCCAGCATTTAAATGTGAATAAATCTTTTGTGTCTCGTACCATCGTAGCCCGACGTCAAAGAAGTGGACGGAAGAAAACAGCAACATCAGCAGAAATGGTTCGAAAAGTAAAGAAGCGAACTGATCGAAGCCCGCGTCGCAGTGGTCGAAAAATGGCTCGTGAGCTGAACATATCGCAATAAATAGACTGAAAAGAACTAAAGAGTTGCTTCGCTTGGCCGAAAGTGGTGAACTGCTGAATTTGGTTTTCTCCGATGAGAAAACATTCGTTGTCCAGCAGTTTGTAAACAAACAAAATGATCGTGTTTACTTGCCAAAGAGGTCAACTGAAAATGTGCACCTTCAGTTGGCCACCTGAACTCAAGCACCGGCCATGGTGATCTCTCCGCTCGTAATTTACCGTAGCATCAGAATAAATGCCGAATATTACCGCGAAAATATTCTGAAAGGGGTGTATTAAAGCCTTGGACAGGCAAACATTTTGGCCGCAGACCTTGGACATTCCAATTCGACTCAGCACCTTCGCACTCAGCACACGCCACCCAAGAATGGTTACAAAATGAGGTTCCTTCCTTCATTTCCAGCGCACAATGACCAAGCGCTTCGCCGGGAATGGGCCAACCGCAGAGCAACATTCGGGCAGCGAGTGACCGTTTTATTGGCCGTTTGAAGAACATAATTCGTGCCAAAGATGACCAATTCGAACAAATCTAAACTTATTCTAAAATTTTATGATATTTTCGACATTTTTGCTTTCATTCAGTAAAATTTAAAAAAGAATTAAAAATTATGGCATTTGACTTTGTTGCAGTTTTTTATCTCACCCTATATCTAAACTTTGACCGATTTCCTCCAATTTCAATAGGGCATGTACTTGGGCCAAACAAATGACTTGTGCAAATTGTATTTGGATCTGGAAATAAATGCGACTTGTACTTTGACACTCGGATGGTCGGAAGGACTTGTGATGTGATTCTATGCAGATCATCAAAAAGAACTGTGAGTCTATCTCGTTTCCTTTTGCCTGTTACATAAAAATGAAAAGACATAGTATTCTCACAACCTTGTGGTATAGGAAATAACAACTAGGTCATAAATCATAAGAAGGAAATAAAAACACAAAGTTTGGCCGGTAAAAAAAATATCGTGATTTAAGTTATATATATATATACATATATATATATATATATATATATATATATATATATATATATATATATATATGTACAAATTACACTGTAAAAATATATAAATGTTCTAACACTAGAAGCTGGTGGATGGCTAAAAAACGCTAATATTCCGACGTTTTCCCATGTCTTGCAAATTCGCTATTTTGAGCTCCCAACGATTTGAAAATTTGATGAAAAAAACTATCATATTATCAGGCCCATACCTACTAAGTCGTTAAAAATCGCAATTTGCTCCCGAAGCCAAAGTTTTGGTTCCTGCCATTATGTATAAAAATCGCTGACACCTAAAATCAATAAAACCTCATCTTCAAGGTTTAATGTCTTTTAGAAAATTTTGCGGAATTTTAGTAAACAATCAACTGAAAAAATTTACCCAAGATCTTAGAACATATTAAGTAGTTAGGAGTGGATTTTAAAGGTCAAAAATGGTAAAATGGCTTTAGGTTTTGATGTATTGATGCCAATCCTTTAAAAATACAAGGAAATAGTCAACTAAAAAATTGCGTCTAAGATCTTAATAAACAACTGTCTAGAATTTCCAAGAAACGATCAAAATGGGAAAAAAACAAAACTTATTACAAATTTATACATTTGTTTCTTAGGATTTAGTGTATACGATACGATTACTTTTGTATGACTATATTTAAAGGATTTTTCGAAAGATTTGACATTTTTTATACTACCCACTAAACCAATTCTCAGGTAATTATATTTTCGAAAGGATAAGATCACTCACCTTGAGATATTTGCAATTTAGCGCAGATAGCATCGGCCTCACGTTTGGCATGTTCCAAAGCCAATGAAATGACCGGTTCGAAATTATCACGAACCTCTTCCAGGGCACCAATAAACGAATCCAGAGCCAAAGGTTTCAGATTGTGTTTCCTCTGGAACGTTGTATCCTCCAAATATTCACGTAATACTTGGTGGTCCGTTGGACATTGGAAATGCCGTTGGGCCGATACCTGTGCACGGTTGGATGGCACTGTTGTGTCTGTTCTGTTCGAGGGGGAGTTTTTCAAATCTTGAAACGTTTCAACATCCGAATCGAAAGGTTCTGATTTGAAATCGAAACCAACACTGCTGCTGGCACTGCTGCTAGCCGAATGTGGTGTGGGTGTATCACAGCTGGATTCTGGCGGGGAGGGTGGCAAAATGTGCAATTGTTCTTGTTTGATTGAGGGACACGGTGAGCAGGCTGTGCCATACAGGGAGTTGTGTGAAGATCCCAAAGATTCGTAGCAACCGGAAAATTGTGTTTGGGGAAAAGCGTATTCGGATTGAGCTGGGCTAGATTGTGGCGATGGATAGATATGCGCGGGATATGCGGGTGGCGGAGCAATGAGTTGTTGTTGCTGTTGTTGTCGTTGTTGTTGCTGATTATTAGCGGGAAAATAACTCTGATAGATTTGTTCCTGCTTGATCGTATTTAGTGAGGGGCACGAAGACCACGTCTGTTCCACCTTAATATCGGGCACGGTTAACAATTGCGTATTTGTGTGATCCGTCGCCGTTTTGTCGAAATTGAAAACTGTCGTTGGTATACTATCTATGAGATTTGTCGATGAATGAGGAGCATTCGTTACTGCCGGTACATGTGATGATGATTGCGGTTCGGCTTTTGTTGTGTTTGTAGCTGTGTCAGCACAGCAATCTTGAGGTAGTAGCGATAGATCAAAATTATCAGTATATGTGGCATAGGGATCGTTCGTTGTTGTTGTTGTTGCTGTGCTGTTATTCGCAGCGGAGAAATGTTGTTGTTCCTCTTGCTGTAGTTCCAATTTAAAATTAAAATTACTTTGGACTGGCACTGATGCAGTGGAAATAGATGGGGGATTTTGTACTACTAAGCAGCCTGTCTGCGGCATCTGTAACGATAAGAAAATTTGCAAGAAACGAAATTGTTATTAAATGTTTTATTAGAAACAAACAACATTTAAAAATGGGTATAAATATATAGTTGGCTTCTAAAGCGTTTGAATGACGAGTGTATTTTTTGTTTTGCCCAGCAGGTCGTTGCTCTTAATGATGTCGTCGTTAATTAACACTTTTGGAGTTTGGTGGTACCAAATGACGACAACAAAAACGAAGCTAGTTTTGAGTTGGTGAGGTGTGCAAAAAACAGCGTGTAAAAAAAGTAAAGAAGTTTTACAATTTATGTTTGAGCGTTACGAGAGCCTATTAGCAGTTTCTATATCCTGGATCAAAAATTGGGGTATAAATTGGTTACAAAACTGTATTAGAAGGTGTAACTATCAGATAAGTTTTACAGATCAGAGACACCTGGAAATGTATTATAGAGTAAAGATTTTGTACTTAAAAGGTTTTTAGTACATTCCAAAATTGTAGAGAAGTTCTGAGTAGCACATAATTTTTTACAACCTGGATGACCCGGTAGTGTTAAATAAAAATGAGTTATTGGTATAGAGCATTGAGATAAGGAAGGGATTTTGAAAATTCATGTTATAGAACAGTGTTGGCATGTTTGTTCGGGATACCATAGTATTTTGTTGTTGTAAAATGGTCAGGCTTAATCCCATTATCGTTGTTTTCATAAAAACAACGTTCGTTTATTGGTGGAGAAAGATGGTAATGTTTACCAGGGGATAAGGCAGGGAATACCTAGGTTTCAGAAAGAACCACCAATCCTCATCAGTTCCTTATTGATATGATATATAGATTTCCCTATTGATATAGAGATTTGAAATGAAGAAAGGGTTTTAGAAGTTCGAAAGAAGATGTACAAAAATCTCATTGATGTTTGTAGAACAAATAAAGTAAAGGGCTAAGTACATAAGAAGCTTGAAGTCATGGCTAGGCATATTTTGTGACATTTCGCAAAGGGATTACAGAGCCGCACTAAAATCCAGCCGTCGTTTTCCATTATAATTTGACATTAATGTGCCTAGCTATGACTTCAAGCTTCTTATGTACTTAGCCCTTAATTATTATGAAAAAAATGTTATCTGAATTTCAGTTTTGTGTCGATTTTTGAAAGGCAGGCGTACAGATGTACCGAATGGTTCTAAATTTTGTACCACTGATAAACAATTATTGTAAGTGGGATATAGACCCACATATCTCTTTATAGAATAACATTCTGAGCCGATTTATGCATGCCCTTTCGTCTGTCCATGTATATTCCGAGTCGATTTCTGCATGCCCCTTCGTCTATCCACGCATTTCTCTAAAAAAAGCAGAGACCGCATATATTGTCTTATTGAGATGAAATTTTCCACAAATAATTTGTTTGAAATTGGTGATAATCGAATCAGATTTGGATATGGTGTAATTCGATTTCATAAGTATTGAGCGCCAAATTAAAATACCAGTCCAAATCAAATGAATTTTAACACAGAAGGCCAAGTTCAGTCCAGAAGATTGTCTGGTAATTTTGGTGAATAACGGTTCAAATTTAGATATAGCTTCCATATGCATTTTCGTCCGATTTCAATTTTATTGTGTACCATATGTCTAATATTCGTCCAAATGGGATAGGTTTCGCCACATCCGATCGAATTCAGCCCAGATGCATGTACTTCAAATTTGGTTCAGATATAGCTCCCATATATACGTTTCATCCGATTTGGGGTTTAATGTGGAGTAATATGCACTGCACAACAATTGTATTTTAAATCAGATACACCCCAAAAATACATTTGCCAAATTTCATCAAGATCAGTTCAGATTTAGATATAGATGCAAATGGTGTAAATGGTTGAGGGAAGAAGATGAGCAAAGCAGTTAGTACCATTTGGTAATATTATTATTAGTTTTAGTATTTTCCAATTTGTTAGAATAATTAATGCAGGGAGAGATGAAAAAACTGCAACCGATTTCAGACTGCTGTCATTTTTAAGCCACTCGTCCAACAGCTGTTAAAATTAATCCAGTGACAGCTCATTATATTGGTTACAAGCGTACTAAAGCATTTAGGTTTGAATTTGACAGAAGAAAGTTATTCGTGATGGAATTCAAGCGTGAAATATGTGCCTGGAAAAATACAAGTGGCTATCGTTAGAGCACTCCAGCCAAAAAATGGCTCGTGAGCTGAACATATCGCAATATTCCATTCCGCAAATATTGAAAAATGAGCTGGTGGTGAAGCCATTGAAACTTCAAAAAGTGCAAGAACTTACTCCGCAACAGAAAGAAAATAGACTCAAAAGTGCTAAAGAGTTGCTTCGCTTGGCCGAAAGTGGTGAACTGCCGAATTTGGTTTTCACCGATGAGAAAACATTCGTTGTCCAACAGTTTGTAAGGAAACAAAATTATTGTGTTCACTTGCCAAAGAGGTCAGCTGAAAATGTGCACCTTCGTTTGGCCACCAGAATTCAAGCGCCAGTCATGGTGATGGTATGGGCCGCCATAACAGCCGGTGGTCACTCTCCGCTCGTATTAATTGACAGTGGGATCAGAATAAATGCCGAAATTTTTCGCGAAAATAATTTGGAAGGGCCGCAGACCTTGGACATTCCAAAAGAACTCAGCACCATCGCACTCAACACGCACCACCCAAGAATAGTTAGAAAATAAGGTTCCTCGCTTCATATCCAGCGCACAATGGCCACCAAAATCTCGGATACCAATCCGTTGGACTATTGTGTCTAGAGTATTTTGGAATAATCGATTACCTCAAGCAAGTGATCCGCCGGAATGGGCCAAAATACCGCAAAGCAACATTCGGGCAGTGTGTGACGGTTTCATTGGGTCGTGCCAATGGTGACAAAGTCGAACAAATCTAAACTTATTCTAAAATTTGATGCTATTTCCGACATCTTTTGCTTTCATTCAATAAAATTTAAAAAAAATAAAATAAAATAAAAATTAAATAAAAGTAATATCGAAAGGTACTGTTATATGGTTATAAGTAGACCTATATATACAATGTTTAGCCACCACAGATAAAACCCATTTTAAACTACAAAAATATAAAAATTGAGATAAGCGCAAAACTCAGAAAAAACAAATAAGCAAAGTCGTGCTGGGCCGAGCATTTGATACCCTACAACACTACAATATAGTAGAAGTCCCCTTATGTCCAAATCCATTTTGGGATTGTTCGTGTCCTTTGGTTTCTATTTGTATCCTTTATAACGGCTGCAAAATCAGGAACATTTTGTTGTTGTTGTCCATTTCAACCCCTAAATATGTTGCGGACATTTTTAAAAACAATTGACCTAGCCCTTCTGAGCCTAACCTGCCCCTATGAAAATTTTCGCGAGGATCGGATGATAATTGCAATCTGTATATAATAACTCCAACCTGTATGGTAAGGTAAAAAATTATTACAAAATGTATACTTCAATATTATAAGTCAAATTGAAACAATAGTATGCGTTAAAAAATACGAAAAAATATATCCAAAACAAGTAAGCAAAGGCTACAGTCGAGCGTGGCCGACCGTTGAATACCCTACAACACTATAATAAACGATACAGATTATATAGGCGAGATACTCGAAAGAATTCCACAAGATATTGTGACAAATTATAAAAGAAAACCATCAGGTTTCGTTCTCTAATTTTCGAATAATAGCAACTTAAACTAATTTGCTCATTTCCAATTTATTGGTAGATGTTGCACGTAAATGGTCTTCCTAGATCTGGAACCAATATTTCCCAAAGACCTATAATCTCTCAGAAGTGGCAAAAGATTAACATCTATTATTTGTTTTTGACTGAAACGCATCTATATGAGATACAGACATTTGACTATATTCTTCAACGAAATAGTCAGAAGTGCGTCTTTTCTGTATTTCTGAATTCTCCAAAACGTCACTGTAATGGACATTATCGTATTTTGTCGACATAAGTTGGCAAACTATTTCACACATTGAATATTTTTGGATAGCCATCCAAAACTGCTTGGCTTTTGCAATGTCCGGTAACCCCCATTCAAATGTGCGTGAGGATCGGGCGATAATTACGACCTGCTGACTATTTTACAGTTTTTTGTTCTATTTCAACCCCTAAATATATGGCGATCATCTCCAAAAATAGTAGGCTTCTATTCTGACCCTCATCTTATCCCCATGCAGAATTTCGTAAGGATCGGGCCATAAATGCGATCTGTATATGATATCCTGATATCCTAACTACTTAGTTTTGTTAGCTGCAGAAATATTACCAAATGTTTAATTCAAAATGAAAATATGCCAAAAATATGACAAAATTGAAAAAATATGAGAAAATTTACAAAATCAATATTTTCATCTTTAGAGAGATATTTTTATGCGATTTTTTAGACGTTTTTTCTTTCCTGCCAAGAGGCCATTCTAAATTAATGAGAACTGTCGAAATCAGTTCAGCCGTTCTCGACATATAACAGATCTTTCAAGCATATCTTCTTTGATAGACATATATATGGCACATATTTTTCTCTATATCCGATTTGTTGGATGTTAACATCGATGTAAAGATCAGAAGTAACCTTGTCATGGCTTTGTGGTTTCGCCGGGATTTAAAATATTCGCGGTTTAATGAAAATTTTTAATTTTTTCAACACAAAAGATATGGTCTATTTTACCCTCTAAATATTATCCGATGTCCACCCAAATTGGTAGGCTTCTTCCCCGCCCTAAACTCTAGCTACATGCGAAATTCCGTGTTGATTGGTCTATAACTGCGATCTGTAGAGCAACTGGAAAATCAAGAAATTTTTCAGTATTTGGTCCATTTCAACCCCTAAATATTATGCGATCATCTCCAAAAGAAATAGGGTTCTATTCTGACCCTAGCCCCACCTTCATTCTAAATTTCGTGAAGATCGGGCCATAATTGCGACCTGTAGAGTGATTACAAATTAACATGGACAGACGGACAGACGGACGGACGGACATACATAGCTAGATCGACTCAGCTCGGCG